TTAATAAATATTGTCTTCCTATCTGTGAACACAGGATAACGTTCCATTTATTTAGATATTCTTTAATTTCTTCAGTGATGTTTTGTAATTTTCAGTGTCCAAGTTTTTTTCTTCCTTAGTTGAATATATTCCTCTGCATTTTATTCTTTTAGATTTTTTTATTCTTTTAGATTCTATTATAAATGAAATTGCCTTCTTAATTGCCTTTCTGGAATTTTAACAGCTGGTGTTTAGAAACAACCGACTTTTGTGTGTTGATCTTGTACCCAGCAACGTTGATGAATTCATTTATTAGCTCTGATAGCTTTTTTGTGGATTCTTTGGGATTATATGTATATAATGTGTGTGTGTGTGTGTGTGTGTGTGTGTGTGTGTGTGTGTGTGTGTTCTTCTGCAAAGAGTTTTACATGTTCTTTTTCAATCTGGACACCTTTTATTTTTTTGTCTAATTCTGGCCAGAACTTACAGTACCATGTTGAACAGCGGTGGTGAAAACAGAATCCTTGTCTTATTCTTGATCTTAAGGGGAAAGTTTTCACCAAGTTAGCTGGGGGTTTTGTTTTATAAATGCTCTTTATCATGTTGAGGAAGTTCCCTTCTTTACTAGGTTATTGAGAGCTTTTATCAGGAAAGAATGTTGGATTTTGTCAATGGCTTTCTGCATCAGTTTACATAATCATGTTTCTTTCCTTTTTTGTTCTATTAATGGGATTACTGTATCCAGTAATAGTGTCAGTCTTTTTAATTTCAATAATTCTAGCAGGTTTCTCATTGTTCTGATTTGCATTTTCTTGATGACTAATGATGTCCAGCATCTTTTCATGTGCTCATTAGCCACTGGCATATTTTCTCTTGTAAAGTGTGCAGAGTTTTTTAACTGGATTGTTCATCATAATATTGAGTTGGATGATCTTCACTTATTCTGAATTACAAGGACTTTACCAGATAAATGTATTGTGAGTACTTTTTTGTGCTCCTCACCTTGCTTTTCATTTTCCTAGCCATGTTATTCAGAGTACAGGCTATGTATTATTTTTAAATTTTGTTTGTTCATTTAAGACTTTATCTTTAAGTAATCTCTACACCTAATGTGGGGCTTGAACTCACAACCCCAAGATCAAGAGTCTATTCTACTGACTGAGCCAGCCAGGTACCCCCAAGAAGTACAAGTTTTTATTTTTATTATTTTTTAAATGTTTGTAAAGTTTATTTATTTTGAGAGAGAAACACATGGGCACAAGCAGGGGAGGGGCAGAAAGAGAGGGAGAAAATCCCAAGCAGGGATCCAACCAAGAGTTGGACGCTTAACTGACTGAGCCACCCAGGGGCCACCCCAGGTGTAGAAGTTTTTAAAGTTCAGTTAATATATTGTTTTTCTTTTATGGTTTGTGTATTTTGTGTTCTAAGAAATCTTTGCCTATCCAATGGTTGCAAATATTTTTTTATGTTAATTTAAAAAAATTTTAGAGAGAGAGGAGAGCGAGCATGCTAGCAGAGGGGGAGAAGCAGGAACAGAGGCAGAGAGAATCTTACGCAGGTTTCACACTCAGCATGGAGCCCGATTCAGGCCTTGATCCCATAACCTTGGGATCATGACCTGAGACAAAGTCAAGAATTGTACACTCAATCCACTGAGCCACCCAGGCACCACTCTTGTTTTCTTGTAGAAGTCTCATAGTGTTAAGGTTTGCATTGAGATCCATTTACTTCTAGTTAATTTTATTTATTTTTTTAAGTTTTTTTTTTTTTTTTTACTGTTTATTCATTTTTGAGAGAGAGAGAGTGAGAGCGCGAGCACGAGTGCATGAGCAGGGGAGGGGAGGAGAAAGAGGGAGACACAGAATCTGAAGCAGGCTCCAGGCTCTGAGCTGTCAGCACAGAGCCCGACGTGGGTCTCAAACCTATAGACTGTGAGATCATGACCTGAGCTGAAGTCAGATGCTTATCCAACTGAGCCACCTGGGCTTCCCTGTCCTAACAGTTTCACTGGGGATTTTACAAGTGACCTGTATCCCTGCATGAATTTTTAAAAAGCTTGTTAGCTTCTAAACACTGCTGGCACTTTGTATGAAGAGGCGTCAGGTCTGGAGATCGATCTGGGGGGGAACAAATGTCTTCATATCACCAAGTCTTCTAATTCACCAGCAGATTGCACCTCTTCATTTATTAGGTCTTCTCTTTCTTTCAGCAGTGGTTTATAGATTTCATTGCACAGGTTTTGCACATATTTTGTTAATTTTGAGTCTTTCATGTTTTTGGTGCTATTACGAGTGAAATGAATTTTATTTATTTATTCATGAATTTTATTCATTTAGTCATGAATTTTTGATTTCATGTTCCAATTGTTCATTGCTAGTACATAGAAATACTATTGATTTTTTGTATATTGACCTTGCATCCTGTGACCTTGCTAAACTCGCATACTCTAATAGCATTCTACAGATTCCTTAGGATTTTCTCTATAAGCAATCATGTCATTTGCAAAGAAGTTTTATTTCTTCCTTTCTTTTTATTAAACATTTTTAATGTTTAGTTTTGAGAGAGTGAAGGACAGTGCATGTGACCGGGGGAGGGGCAGAGAGAAAGGGAGACAGAATCCCAAGCAGGCTCCAGGTTCCAGGGCTCAAACCCATGAATTGCAAGGTCATGGCCTGAGCTGAGTATGTTGGACACTCAACCTACTGAGCCACCCAGGTGCCCCAAATTTAATTGTTTTCTAGGAGAGAGTATGAGCATGGAGAGAGGGCTGAGGCAGAGAAACTTAAACAGGCTCCATGCCTAGTGCAGAGCCCAACTCGGGGCTGGATCCCATGATCTTGAGATCAGGACCTAAGCTGAGATCAAGAGTCCGACGTTTAACTGAGCCACCCAGGTATCCCTTATTTCTTCCTTTCCAATTGGTATTGCATTTTATTTCTTGCCTTGCCATAGGTCACCAAGTACAACACTGAAGAGAAGTGGCCAGAGTGGACATTCTTGTCTTGTTGCTGAGCTGTGGGAGAAAAGCATTTGGTCTTTCTCCATTAGATGTTTGGTATTAGCTGTGGGTTTTTCAGAAATGCCCTTGATCACGTTAAGGAAGTCCTAGTTTGCTAAGAGTTCTTATCACGAATGGTATATGAATTCTATGCATTTACTGCTATGGGAATATGGGTTTTCTCTGTCAAAATGGTGAATTATATGGAGTGATTTTTGAATGTAAAGACAACATTGTATCCCTGGGATTAATCTCAGCTGGTTGTGATGCTCTGTTATCTTTTGTGCATTCTGTTTGGACCTAATAATATTTGGTAAGGATTTTGTGTCTAAGTTCATGAGGAGCTTGGTCTTTGGCTGACCCTTCTTATTGTCTGCTTTTGATCTCAGAGTAATATCGGTCCCATGAAACAAAGTGGCAGGCATTTTCTTCTTTCCAAGGTACTTTGTGGGATGGGAGTTATTTCTTACTTAAACGATTGATAGAATTTACTGAGAAAGCATCTGGACCTGGAGTTGTTTGAAGTTTTCACTTGTGCTGCTGTTCGGGGCTCTGCAAACTTTGATTTTGAAGCAGCTCTTACTGAAGAAGCTTTCTGTTGTTGGAAAGCCCACCAGCTATTAATGCCACAATTTCTAACTAGAAATGAAAAGTCGTTAAGTACTGGAACGTGTGCTGTGGAGAGTCCTGTGTACCACACCGCTGTGAAGGAGGCCTAGACAGAATTTTACCTTTATTCCTTATGGTGCATGGTGTCTGGTGGAAGAGAATGAACCCAAGTTTCTACTCCCATGAGAAGCAAGATCCTTAATTTCTGCATTTCGATTCCTCCTTCACAAATGCATGAGACTCGCCAGACACTGTTTTTTTAAAAAAAATTTATTGTGAGAAAAAGAGAGACAGTGCAGGAGGGGCAAAGAGAGAGAGGGAGAGAGAGAGAATCCCAAGCAGGCTCCGCACCGTCAGCGCAGAGCCTGATGCTGGGCTTGAACTCAAGAACCATGAGATCGTGACCTGAGCTGAAACCAAGAGTTGGACGCTTAACCGACCGATACCCCCAGGTGCCCCGTTTGAGCTGATAGGATTTCTTGCTTCTGGAGCTCCAGCCCCCAGCCCAGTTCTAGGCACACACTGCACGCATCCAAATGTCTGACAAGGTACAGTGTAAAAACACCAGTCACGGCTCCGATATCAGGGCAACAGGCAACAGGCTGAATTTGGGAGTAACTCCTATTAGACCCACGGTGAACAGTCCTCTTTTCTCTAGCACCGCAAACCCAGAGACTTCAATCATACTAGAATCATTCAGGAAATTTTTCACTTGCTGTTGCTTTTACAGGGTTAGTGCGTGAGGCTCAACAAATGTTTATCTTTGAGGTTGTTAAAATAGCAGATGGCGCTAGACTTTGAGCCGGAAACCCTAGATCGCTCTCGTTCCCTCGGACGGTAGAGGCGTTGTGACAGAATGGAAAGCAGGCTGGATTTGGGAGATACAAGACTTGCACTGAGGGGTGTGTGTCTCCTGACATAACCATCAAATGAATACACTTGAAAGAGCTATATAAACCGCTCAAAGAAGTACACAAAGGTGTGTTAATAGAACACAGCTCAGAAATAAACCAGAGCTTATGTCATGTCTGTGGGAAGACAAAAGTCAGCCCCTCTGAGCTGGGGGTCCGTGGTGCAAGGCCAGCCTCAGCAAAGCAGGTTAACGGTTCAAGGAGTTCTTTGTCCTTTGCTCACCTCCCCCTTTCCTAGCCTTCCCACAGCCTGCCACCCCGGCATGACCCAAGCCACGCCTGTCCTTTCAAAATAAGATCTACCTTCACATTTCAAATCCTCTTACCATAACACACAATTGTGCAGCTCAGAGGATTTGGATTTTTAGTTCTGAAGGAATAAGTTCGTGGAGTAAATTTCAATTACTGCGGCAAGCTGACGGGAGGTGTTTTAGAACCCGAAGAGCTTTTCCGTAGGGACCTAGCAGACGGCCCCCAAAAGGCAGCCATCCACTCGGGGGACAGACCAATTTCTCAAAGCGTTTTATTGTCACATTAAAGCTGTTTTTCTCAGCACTCCAGGGTTCAAATAAACTCTCTGAGACACTCCATTGGTGTAATTTTAAATTACAAGCTTGATCTGTTACCCTCAAATACAGTCTTTAAGGAAGATTAGTTACAAACGGTTGTCAGTACTTTCCAATGACAGAAAAAAAATCACATTATAGTAAACTGGAATGAATTTTTTTACGTGTGATATAACAAGGTTTTTCGTCACCAGGTGGAATTACTCCAATTCATGCAATAAATGTTACATTTTTTTAAGTTGCCCTAATTTTTCTAGTTGAGATTTCATGCTTATTTTAAGTCAAGATATCAGTATGTTCCTGTGCTCCCCTACCCTCCCTGGGAAGCAGTGAGGACACATGTGATTTCTCTGGAACTGGGTACTGTCTGTGCCTTTCACCTCTGTGTGAGGCCTTCCATGTCGGATGCAGTGGCCCTGGTGGCCTTTAGGTGAATATGACACTATGGATTATTGAGGACTTTGATAGTGACCTAAACGAGGTGAACGGGAGGGAAATTCTGACTTATCTTGACATAAAACTGGCAGAAATCACCATCACTGAATTCCTGTATGCAGAAATCATGAGGGTTAAACAGAAGAGCTTTGTCAATGATGGGGACCCCCCCCCCACAGCAGACTTTGTGAATGTCTCTCATAGAACCACGTGAATAGTACCATCAACATGTTACAGGTTTTACATACAATCTGAATACAAATTCTTAAAATTTATAATAGAACATTAAAATAATCTTCTAATAAAATCAGCCTTAGGTATAACGAATCTAAATTTCAGTATCATGTACACTTCTAAATAAATATCTTTGATCTATAATCCTTGAAAATATTACAGTTCATGGCGATGTGCCAGAGACAAGTCGAACAGTATTATTAAGTGAAAATAAGACATCAATTTAAAAATTAACAGGCCTAAAAATACACCAAACTGAAAGTATAGAAAATCAAAACACTGAGTACATAGCAATTAAATATCTAGCATTGGGAAAACCGAATGCATGCTCAACATACTTCCAACTCATAGAAAAAGCCCTTTAAAATTCATATCATCTAAATAAATAAGCAGAAATACAAAGGGAGGTACTGTACCGGCCAGTAACAACTAGAAAGTAATTTCTCCCTTTTTCTTTCAAATGATCCAGACAATAAAAAAACAAAACAAGAAATAATGACCACTTGCTAAAAAACTGTAATTCATGTGTTTTGTTTCTGTTCAAATGCTGGGATATAAAAAGCCAAAGCAAGACTTTCTAAATGTTAGACCACTGTACCTTACAAAGGGAAATGCCCACCTAACAGATGGAAACAAAAATTAGACGCTTCCCTACTTAAGATAGGATTGATTGAATTTTTGCTTACTGGCCCCGTTAACAGGGTCTAAATCAAGTCCATGATATGAATGCACATTCAAACATCTGAATGCAGGGTTTGTTAATACTGAATTACGTATCATGATTTAATTTCATTTGCCGAAGGGTTAGTTGATTCTACCTATGACCAGAATTGAAGCATCCAGAGCAGGAATTAACATCTTTATCTTTGTACTCTGGTTCCTAGATCCTCAGAACATAATGGCAGGTGTCACCCACCAAGACGGGAGTCCAGCATGCGTCATACGTCAGGGACCAGTGAACCCATGATGGAGCTGGGCACCTGCCACTCAGCGGGAGCTCCTTAGTTTTGATTTTTTACCTTCAGGATTGTGATTAATTTCTGGCCACTTAATCAAGTTAACTGTCACGGATCTGTCACAGTTTCTAATTTCGAGGCCAAGATTTCTACAATTCATCTGTTCCACAGTGAAGCCTTGTATCCGTGCCTGCACACCTACCATCAGGTTAAAGTAAAGATAATCTCTGTGATTCTGTGCTGGGTATTTGCTTGTGATATCTGTCTGAAACACACACGCATGCACGCACACACATACACACACAATCATTTCACAGATGGACAACGGAATGTGGCATTAACGCACGAAGCCTAGATTACACAGCGCCCAAGGTTAACTAAAAAAAGACGATGAAACCGTAAAGTAACTCCTCTTGATTATACACAAACTTATTGCGTGATGGCTGGAAGCAATGTTTTTGGACCAACGAACGGGAACCGAAAGTGTCCTTGGTGATAACCATGAGCTTGAACAAGGCAGCTAAAAATGGCGAGGCTCCAATACGGCTCCTTTAATTCTGCTCCAGGTAGTTCAGCAGGCCAGGAAGTGGCACAGAGGAAGGGACACGCTCTCCAAAGGCCATTCTTTCCATCCACAACACTTAGACCAACATCTGCTCGCAAGGCGGACGATGGTCCTCTGCGTGGCCACTTATAGCTGCCGTTGCCGATGTCCGGGGTACCTCTCCAGGGGAAGGGGGCGCCTGTTACAGAACTCCTAAAATAAAAGCTGCTTAGAAAGGTTCGCTCTTTGATCCTCACTGCCTCTGAGTGCTGCTAGGAGAGGTAGATCCAGTGTTTAAGTTCTGCCATTCCCTGCACTAACTTGGTGTAATAGAAGTCCATGTTGTCCGCAAAGTCCGTACAGACGGGCGACTCCATGTCACCGAAAGTGCAGTACAAGGCAGTCCCTCCGACACTGAGGAAGACCGTTGCTATGCACAGCAAGACCAGCAAAATGCAGGAGCCGCCTCCGACTTCGTCTGCAAGTGTGAGGAGAGAGGAGGGTTACACAGACTCGGAACAGAAATCCTAGTATCTGCGGTCTTCACGAGATGCTTCTGGTTAGTGCTGGCCCTCTACGGGCGGGGTCACTGACAGGAAGCCAGTGCCCCAATGACTCCACAGGCCCTGCAGCAGTCGCCGCAAGGCTACACGCACGTGGAGCCCATCAGCGCGGAGATGAAAGCTAGCTCATTATACAAGGAGTACGATCACTTCCATTACAAAAGAAGAGAAGGGCAGTACTTCTCCGATGTGATCACTGCATTGTTTTAGGGCACAACTTGCAACCTCATTGGCACACTGTCTCTGGAATTCACATCATGAGCCCAGCTTAAAGCATGGTCAATTTGATATTAAACAATAAAAACGTCTTCAGGGGGATCACTTTTGCATCTTAATTACTCAGTTTTACTCTTAGCATTTTGTGGAACAGCAATGAGCTAGCTAGTACAGTGATTTCTTTTTACTTTGCTTAATAACTAGCAGGTTGGTGGCGGGGGGGGGCGGCGGCGTGTGCGTCTGGGTGGCTCAGTCAGTTGAGTGTCTGACTTTGGCTCAGGTCAGATCTTATGGTTCGTGAGTTCAAGCCCCGCATCGGGCTCTGTGCTGACAGCTCTGTCTCTCTCTGCCTCTCAAAAAATGAATAAATGTTAGGAAAAAAATTTTTTTAAAGTAATTGGCAGGTCAGTTTTTAGTGAAAATGTCCACACCAGTCTCTCTATATTAAAGAAAATAACTATCCTTTGGTTGAAAGTCTTAATGATCATTTATGATTAAAGAAATTTTTTTGTCAATTTTGGAAAAAGACTAAAAAGTTATATGATTAGCATGATGAGGGTGTACCAGAACCTTCTTGGAAGGTAATTGGCAGCATCTATTAAAACTTTAAATCAGGGGCGCCTGGGTGGCTTAGTTGGTTAAGCGTCTGTCTTTCACTTAGGTCATGATCTTGCGGTTCGTGGGTTCGAGCCCCACGTCGGGCTCTGTGCTGACTGCCAGCTCAGAGCCTGGAGCATGTTTCAGATTCTGTGTCTCCCTCTCTCTCTGACCCTCCCCTGTTCACGCTGTCTTTCTCTCTCTCTCCTAGAAATAAATAAAACATTAAAAAATATTAAAAAAAAAAACAACTTTAAATCAATTTATCCTCCTGACAGGACATGTTTGCGCCACACACACTTGTGTTTTTACAGGAAAGTTCACTGTGGCAAAGCGTGTTATAACAAAAAGTTGAGAATAACTCAGTTATCCAGTTAAATTATCAGGGAACATTCATATAATGAAATACTATGCAATTGTTTGCAAGGATGAAGTAAATATAGTATGTTCTCTCATAGGAAGATATCCAACATTGATGGTTAAATTAAAAAGAAGTGGTGTAACAGTATATAATGAACCCATCGGTGTTAGAACAAAAATGTGTGTCAGTGTGTATATACATGTGTGCACACATATATACAGAATGTATCTTGCAAAGATTGTAAGAAACTTCAGTCAATACTTGGGAGAAACCCTCAAGGGGAGGTTGGAAGACTGGATAGTTTTACTTCATTACTGTAGGAGTTTTCTCATGATTAGCATGTATTATTTTTATGATGATGAACCCCCCCCAAATTTATAAAACTTCATATAAACCAAATAGACTTTATTTGGAGGGCTTTACAGTAATATGTGAAGATATTCTTCCTCTAAAATTCAAACCCAAAAATATCTAATATTTGTCTCCTAATCAGGCTTATTCCCTTCCTGCCTCAGAGACAAACACTCAAATCTGATGTGTCTCCTTTGAGGTCAAAGACACAGACTTCAGAATCTTTATATAAACAGGATTATTCTTTTTTTAAGTTTATTTATTTTTGAGAGAGAGACAGAGAGAGCGAGCAGGGAAGGAGCAGAGAGAGAGATAGGAAGAGAGAGAATCTCAAGCAGGCCCTGCACTATTAGCACGGAGCCTGATGTGGGGCTCAAACTCACAAACCGTGAGATGATGAGCGGAGCCAAACCAAGAGTCACTTAACTGACTGAGCCACCCAGGCGCCCCTGTATGCACAGAATTATGTAATTATATTGTTCTGTGATTTACAAATTTATAGTTTAATCAGTTTTAATAGTTAATAGGCTTAATAATTTATGTACATATGCAAATATATTTTTATACACATGAATAACTATAATATCATTAATGTATCTCGTTTTTTTTTTTGTTTTTTGGTCAGTTCACTTTTTTCCACCATCTTTTCTGTGTTTTGGCTTCATGCCCTCCCGCCCCCTCATCTATGTTAACAATCTGATGCAGGTACTTTTCCATGTTTTTCTTCAGGATCATATATTTATATATAAACACTTAAACGCAGTATATTTTAAAACATCTGTTTTGTTTATTTTATCAACATGCGTTGAAACTGTTTAGAGCGGCACAGCCACCCCAGGGGCTGTGAGGCACCAACGGAGTGACCTGGTTAGAGATGAGATGGCCACTCAGTGCGGACGAATGTCATCTGCAAACCCAGGGCTCCTCCTGGTAAGCAACGATTCAGTGTCATTTGTGCAGAGAGCTGAGCACTCTATCCGGCGAAGACCGGGGTAGTTACAAGCATAGTGCAGAGGTGAAATGAGGGATGGGAAGAGATTGTTTCAGAGGCTCCGTTATAACTGTAAATTAGAAGTTTTCTACCGTAAAACTCTAGAAACCTCCACTGCTATCCCTTGATGTCACTCAGAGAAGGTGTATGCACATGCTTACACTGTTACTCATAACAATGCAGGTGTTATATAAACTTGAGAAGCACACGGACAGGTTCTTGGCTACCTTTCTTCTCGTATTTTCCTAGGACTTACGTAAACCTAGCAACTGCCTTAAATACAAGCCCAGGAGGGAAAAGTAAATAAACAACAGCAACAGTGTTAACGTGCTGCTCCAGAGGCACCTTCTTCCATAGAGTCAGGAAGAAATCTCCAGAGAATATACTTATAACCCATAAATATTTCTCAGACCTACAAAGAAAGAGTATTAACTGCCACTGAAAAAAAGACCATAGCAGGCTCACTTAAAAAAAAAAAAAAAAGGTATTGGGGCCCCTGGGTTTCTCAGTTCGTTAAGCGTCTGACTCTTGGTTTTGGCTCTTATACACAGTTCATGAGTTCAAGCCCCGTGTCGGGCTCTGAGCCTGCCTGCTTGGGATTCTTGGATTCCCTCTCTCTCTGCACCTCCCCAACTCATGTGTTCTCTCTCTTAAAAATAAATAAATGAGCATTAAAAAATAATTTAAAAAAAAGTATAAAACAGGAAACTGAAATGAGCTCCGACACACTGTCTGTGACACATGGAGATCATATGTTGAATTTTACAACTTGCTCATAAACTGCTCAGGAATGAGAGAAGAGCTTATGATCGTTTGATTCTGTGTGTTCCTTTACAGAATATAAAGCGGTCAAGTACACGTGTCTTTTTACAAATCCTGTTACCAAACATGCTACCATGTCTGACCCAATCTTCCAGGCGACAGTGAGAGCCAGCTCCGTGCTAGAGGGAGCCCCTGGAGCTTTACCTTGATCTAAGCCATCGTCTATTTCCTGGAACCTCACTCTTCGTTTTGATGGTTTCTGCTGCATCTGGGCGGGGTGGCCTACACTGTCATTCCTCTTCTTTAATATAGAGACCAGTCCTTCGGCAGGAACAACCTGTCAGGGAGAGTTTACACGTAGCGGTAAAAAGACTAATTCCATCCAACAGGTATGTGGATTTCTATTACAGGTTCACCCAACTCCTACAGCAAAAACACGTCACAACTGATCATCAGAATCCTATAATAGAATAATGATTTTACTTGGGGCTGATGACTGCCGGACACACATGTCTGAAAGTACAGCCCCTCTCCATAGCCCCCAGCCACCTCCAGGGCGGGCGACCTGATGCCTGGCACAGGGGACTGGGCTGGCCGGGCTCCTAGCTCCATGTCCCAGGCAGGGCGTCTGTGAGGTGATCACTCACAGCCCCTCTCTGCTTGCTCACGAGTGCTGGGTTTTGCTTTAGAACAGAGGCTGATGGTCCAGCACTTTGTGTTTCATTCACCAGCAATTTTTAAGAAATAAACGTGTGAGGGGCACCTGGGAGGCTCAGCTGGTTAAGCGTCCGACTTCAGTTCAGGTCACAATCTCGCGGTTTGTGGGTTTAGGCCCCACATCAGGCTCTGTGCTTACGGCTCAGAGCCTGGAGCCTGCTTCAGATTCTGTGTCTCCCCCTCTCTCTGCCCCTTCCCTGCTTGTGCTCTCTCTCAAAAATAACTAACATTAAAAAAGAAAGAAAGAAATGAATTTGTGAGACTCAAAATCTATTTGATGCCATGAACTCGGGAACCCGAGATTGAGAGTCGTGTGCTCGACTGAGCCAGCCAAGCGCCCCCTGATGCCAACTTTTAACATCAAAATGAGTGTTAAGCTCAGTCCCTCTGCGAAACTATGTTATTTATGAAATTATGCTCTACTGCCCAAAATATTTTAAGGGTTTCTCTTCTGGAATATCTCAGAGCCAGCTCCCCAGGGATGTGTTACTTTGGAGAATACAGAGTTTGGCAAACTATGGGGGGTGGGCCAAAGGCTCCCTGCCCATTTTTTGTCAATAACACAGAATTGGAATACGGTCAAGTTGATTCACCCTCACACTGTGTAGGGCTGCTACGACAGCAGAGCTAAGCAGCTGCAACAGACCCTGCAGTCTAAAATGCTTAATATCTGGAATTTGCTAGTATCTTCTGTCCCCTTCACCACCCCCTTTCTAAGCCGCCTTCTGCTTTTCTCGGGAGATTCGTCTCCTGCCTCCGCCCCACCCCTTATTTGGGCACAAAGATAGAAACAAAAACTCTTGCCATTTAGGAGTTAAAGAGATTCCTCCGCAGGGAGAAGGGGATCAGTTGGTAGAGCCAGACTGGGAAGCAAAGGTGGCCCCCCTCCGAGCAGCAGGTTGGTTCAAAGTTGACCTGTGGGTTGGCCTGCTTGGACAAGCTGTAGGTGATGACATAGGCGGGCATTGTGGGCCTAACACTGCAGATGACAGTGGCTTGCTGCTATCAGGTCACCGGGAGCTGAGGACTGCCTATAATGTCATTTATCTGATCGATGGCATAAAATACTTAATACGATTTCCAGTTCCATCCAGCCATCTCTGCTAATGTGCTATGCATAAATATTACTGATTCTATTCGTTCTTTTTATAACTCAAGGCTTTTAGGGCCAAATAACTCAATATAATCTCTGAGCTTCCCTGAACATGGGTCTACAGAAAGCATTATCTCAAAAAAAAAAAAAAAATCAATGTTAGCAATTTAATCTTTTTATAGGAAATGGGTATTTCAGATGATGTCTTTCTTCTGAGAAAACTAAAGCACTTTAGTGACATTAAAATGGAAAGTACAAATATGCAAAGGAATAGTCTTTCAAATGTTTCTTTAGAAAGAAGCAACATTAAATATCCCTTTATGCAACGTTAAAAGAGCCCCTTTGTACAACAAAGAAAAATGATTTTACAAGTACCATGCTGAAACTGAGAAGTTTCTGAGGAGTAAGAAAAGGAAAATGGAAACTAGTTTTAACGGCCCTATTACTACTAACGATGTATCATTGATATTTTTACTTTTAGTAAATGTAAAAAAAAAAAAAAAAGGGAATTTTCATAGACTCACTATTTTCTGCATAAAATTAAGTTGTACATTTACCAACAGTGAATTCACTCACCATAGATGTTTTCAAGTCGCTTTAACTACTAGGGAAAAAAATTGTATTAAGAATAATTGTGAGGGGGTGCCTGGGTGGCTCAGTTGGTTAAGCATCTGACTTTGGCTCAGGTCATGATCTTGTGGTTCGTGGGTTCGGGCCCTGCGTCAGGCTCTGTGCTGACAGCTCAGAGCCTGGAGCCTGCTTCGGATTCTGTGTCTCCCTCTCTCTCTGTCCTCCCCTGCTCACGCTGTCTTTCTCTCTCAGAAAAAAAAAAAAAATTGTGAGGGGCGCCTGGGTGTCTCAGTCGGTTAAGCATCCAACTTCGGCTCAGATCATGATCTTACAGTTTGTGTGTTCAAGCCCCATGTTGGGCTCTGTGCTGACAGCTCAGAGCCTGGAGCCTGCTTCGATTCTGTGTCTCCTCTTCTCTCTGTCCCTTCCCTGCTCATGCTCTGTCTCTCTCTCTCTCAAAAATAAACATTAAAAAAGAAAAGAATAATTGTGGGGACGAGCCCCCGAGTGGCATTACTATAACTTTTATATCTTTGTGATATGCCTTTTGAATCTGGAAATTCAAGAAAGAGACTCAAATCATAAATCAAAAGACAGTGACTATGAATAAAAGTATGTGGAAAGGCGAGGTGAAACTCAAGGTGACGTCCTCTGGAAAGACACAGGTGTGTGTCTGAGATCCAGCAGCCAGTCATGGTGCATCTGCTGTTGGGCTGCTACCTTGGCCCCTGTATAGTCTAATCAGGGGTATCTGGCTTGGAAGTCACGCAGTTAAGGAACACAAGCTTTCCCAAATTGGTTCCCCCCTCCTTATTTACTATGGGTGGTGATGAACTTTGGCAAGTTTTTGGAAGAGGAAGAAATTACAGTTGTGTGAGATGGCCAACATTTTGTTTGGCCCACCACCCAACCCTTAATTCTTGGCTAAAAGTCTAACCACACCTTATGCTTTCTTTTCCTTTTTCTCTCCCACCAAAACGGTTTCTTTCAGTAGAACTGCCCCCAAGTCTGAAGTGAGGGAGGGTGCCCCTTTCCATGATTTCCTTTCAGGGACCTTCTCCAGGGATCTTTCTTTTCCAATTGCCCTGCAGTCCTATGGTCTACCGACACGGAACAAGGGACAGTAGGACCAAGTTCAAGTTTACACACAGGAGATGCAGGCCAAGGGGGAACCTCTGAAAGCACGCGTGTGGTCCCTTCTGATCTGGCAAGAGTTTGGGGCAGGGGTCTTAGAATCTACCCCCAGCACAGAAATTCTACCTACCACACCAAGGAAGTCAAACACAACAAGTTTAAGAAACAACTTTGGTAGAATTTTTTTTTTTGAGTCTAATCATACAAAGTTGGGGCAACTGGGTGGCTCAGTTGATTAGGCGTCCCACTGCAGCTCAGGTCAGGTCATGATCTCATGGTCCTTGAGTTTGGGCCCTGTGTTGGGCTCTGTGCTGACACCTCAGAGCCTGGGGCCTGCTTCGGATTCTGTATCTCCCTCTCTTTCTGCCCCTCCTTTGCTCACACTCCGTCTGTCTGTCTGTCTGTCTCAAAAATAAATATTTAAAAAAAAAAAAAAAAGGTAATGGTAGAAAGTCAAGTAAGCCAAAATAAGGTCAGGGTCTTGGTTCGGGGTCTCACTCAAAAGACTGCAAAGTGTTTCTAAGCAGGTAGAGAGGTTGATGTAGGACACAAAGAAATGTATCTTCTCCAAACTACCCTAAAAACAGTTTGTATGCCTTTTTTCCCTCTTTTCCATGATGTCAGCATTAAAAGGTTAATTTCTTCATCTTGAAAAAAACAAAGCTTTAAAAACCAATTTAGCTTCCCACTCCAATTACCGAATTCCTTTCCTAGCCAGCCAAAACAGAACAGCCCTTCCACTGAGAACAAAAGGAATGTCTACGCTGTAATTAGTGTAATTGTCACTGGCGGTGCTCTATGAAGAAGTGCAGGATTAAGAACGAAAACAAAACAAAACATCCATCTGGCCTCGTCTTTATATTTGCAAATAAACAGTTCCTCTGCACTTCCCCTCAAATATCAATGATCATCCTGCATAGCATGTTGAGAAAAATAAAATTAATTTGCAACTCTCCTGGCACAGTAAATCCTAATGTGACAAGAAACACATTCAGAAAGGCCTTCCTGTTAGACTTGCCTCCTTATAAGATTAAAGGAGAAAGCAGATACCAAATAATATTCTTTTAATGATATAGGCTTGCTCAGTACAGAACTTCAAGGCTGGTGAATTTGAAGCAGGAACACACAGTTTCCGACTCACTTGAGAATTAACATTCACAAATCATATTATTATATCGTAAGTAGCTTAAGTGCCAGTGATTTCACTATAGAAGCGCATGTCAAATTCAATGCCACTTTTCACTAAAAATAAGCAACATTCCCTTCCTGTTCCTTTAGATCTGGGCTCCGTCATAAGGGCCCTTGTTTTGTGAATCGGTGCACTTTATGTGGTAAGAGGCATAATTCAGTGAGTCTGTACACAGTTAGTCTTCATAACTCTGCTAAGTAGGCGTTATTGGTCCCATTTTACAAAACAAGCCAAGCTCAGACAGTTAACACAACCTGCTTACCTTGTACCACCAGTTACTGGCAGAGTGTGAATGCACACTCATTAAACCTCTTGCCATTTCCTTTACGTGAAAAGATCTTATTTTCTAGGACTATTAAAATTTTGCTCCGTATCGTCTGTTACATACTACACTTAGCATGAGATGAACATGACTTTCAAATAAACCTAATCAGGTTCTTTAATCTTTCCAGAGTACTCTATATCTCTAGCAACAAATCCTTATCTTGCACATCACCCCAATTAAGATACTTAAACTAATGGCTAAATCCATTGACCTAGAGACATGGGGGAGGAGATGGGTAGATGAAAGATCTTTCTCCGGTCATGCAATTAATCTGCAAGTAGATTAATGTCATGGCTTCTAATACAGCAA